GAACTTGGTAAGGTGTGCGTTAAGGTAGGGCAAATTTTTGGCTTGATGAGGTTTGCATGAATCAATATTGATCAACAGTTGAGCAATTTGTCGAGTACAAAAATCTGTAATGTAGTGTCTTTGTTAATGTTATCTCGCCAAAAGGTAGCAACAAACTCTCTAGGAAAGTAGCATACGTGTTATATGATGAGTTAGATTTCATACAGTATTTACAGTGTTGAACTGATATGCAAATTGAGTTGATTTGCTTCAGCCCTGGCGTTGTAAAATTGAGTCAAGAAGCGTAACACAATCAGAGGATTGTGCCCTGTGAGTGTCTATGACTTTTGTACTATAAAACTGACCCTTTTTTCTTTCTTCTTCGACAAGGCCTTTGCATCATTGTCTAGCGTGGACTTGAAGGTTCGGGTTATCAGTGTACATATGGTAAATTGACAACCGATGAGATGTCCATAAACCCTGCTAGCTCCCTGCTAGTAAGCAGTAGCCCACTTCCTTAAGCGAATTATTTAAAGAGTTGCGGTTTGTGATTGTTAAATCAAAATCACAGTGTGCTTTCGCCTGGGAAAACCAGTAGTTCCGGCAATTAAAGCTAGATTAACGCACATCATCGTTTCTCCTTTTTACTTTGATCTACCATCTGACATCTCATCTCATCTACAATCCGACCAAAGCGCGGTAGATAGGTTACTGTTGTTTTTCGCCATAAGCCAATTTGTCCCTCTTAATTTTTCATCGCTTTATCTGTTACGGTCAATTTAGATATAGTTGTTTTAAAAGGTCTCAGATTTTTGAGTTTATGAACAAACCTCATCTGTAGGACACAAATTAAAGAAAGCCAATGACCACTTCTCAGTTAGGACGTTGTAAGTGTCTTTTTTGTTGTTGTTGTTGTTGCTTGTTTGTTTTTCAGTTACAGTCAAACCCCGTCGGACACCGAGGGGGCTATAGAAAGCATTCCGTATTGATGGGGTGTGCGTATTAAGCTGATTGAATTGAGAGAAATTGTAAGGGCTTTCTTTCCCCAGGAACAAAGCAACCTGTCCGTAATGATGAGGTGTCCGTATTAAGCGGGTGTCCGCGGGGTTCGACTGTATTATTATTTTCTGTCATTGTTATAATTTTTCTATGTTTTGTGCTGAGATCCTCCAAAGCAGTCCGACTTGTTTTTAATTACTTAGAATTCATTGCTTGTTCCAAACTAAATAGTCATCATATATTGACTCTTCGTTTCGTTGCCAAGTTTCTCGTTGAAACTTAGCAACGTCTTTAACAAACTTAACTATTCTGGTAAACAAAAGGAAAGTATTTATTTCCTCGTCGTGATCCATTCTTGCCCCCAGGCAAAAGAAGGTTACGAATTTACATCTGCTTTCAAGATAATTGAACAACTCATTTTACGCTGAAAAAGAACTCATTTAACTATCCTGGGTTCATTAAAACGGTGGCGTATATCCATTTGTATATTGGTCTGTATGGGCGTTTGAATACGTCGCGTGACATAGCGCATAACCGTGGGTGTGTTTTTGATTTTGTTTTTTTGTTTTTGGTGACTCGATTCGATTGTGAACAGGAAGAGACACTATGTCGGTAAGACATTATAACAGCAAAAGAAAACGATTCTTTACTCTGTCATCAACAAGTGACAAATATGAAAATGTGCAAATTGCGAATTGAAGAAAATTTTACTGTCTTTTGGTGCTCAACAACTAGTGTACAGCCTATTCTAGCTTCTTGCGCATTACTCTTACTTCCTCCCTGTTTCTCAGGATTGTGAAAATGAAATTGATTGAAAATTACCCTTTGCACAGACGTTTTTGAGGCTTCTACCTGTCAGCGAATGTCATTCATTAAAGCCTACACGCGCTTGTTTATCAGTTGAATTTTGAAGGGTAACGTATTTTCACAGGGCACAGGCGCTAACAATATCTGGGAATTTGTACAGCTTGAATGTAGTTGAAACCAGAGTTCAGTTCACGTGGACTGAGCGTTGCACTATTCATAATTCAGCTTTAAACTTTAGCCTTTCACATGCACTTGTCATGTCTGAAAACAAAGGGTTTACTGGCGTGTTGGCAAGTTATGCTTCATTTAAACATCAGTTGAAATATTGTTTCACATGTGTCCCACTTTGTGACAAGTACTACATGTATTTATGAAGTCCAAGTTGCTGGCGGCCTTCTTACGAAGCGGTTCAGTATGAACACTCGTTTATAACTTATAAATGAACTTTGGGTCAGCTAACCGGGATGGAAAAGAAATGATCTATATAACTAGAGCACATCATTTAGAGAATCCTTTCTACATCACTTCTTTGAGCTTTAACATTAAAATGCATATTCTTAATACTTTTCTTTACAGATTTCTAATGGCACAAATGAGGAGAATCCACCTAGAATTCAGGGGCACCCAACGAGAATATAGCTCAAAACCACTTAAAAATAGCATTGTTGAACGTACTTTAGTATTTTAAACGGTAGATATAGGCATATTTTTATCCCCTAAAAATTTTTCACCTGTTCCTATTTCCTAGCTGAAAGTCTAGTGATCCGAAAATTATGGGGATTAAAACTTACCTTTTCGAGGATTTCAGCCAGAAAAAAGGCTACCGAAAATTCTAGGTGACCTTTGTAGGATGAAAATCCGTTAAAAATGGGCAATTATACCATTTTTTAGATGTTCGAAAATCCCAGGAGAGGCAGGCAAGCAAGAAATTTTACAACAAATGTTCAGAAAATTCTAGATCTCAAATCGTCTTCCGAACAGATATTTTCCGAAAATAGACGTTGGATGCCCCTGAGAAATCAAGTCATTTTCTCGATGGCGATGTTTGCCTTCATTCGAGAGAGAATTTAGTATTAGTCATTGTATAGAGAAAAAATAGCTCGTCCGCCACTGCTAAGACTAATTTTAAGGCCTTAACTCAAGCCAACAGCTCTCTTGCTCAAGCTTAATCTGATCTTCACACTCATCAAACACCAATGGCTGCCTTTAAAATTTTGTCAGTCCATGATATTGATTGATTGCGCTCATGCGTGCATGCAGCACACAGTACTGCAACTGTCCTTTACTCCCCAGAGTGCCTAGCTGTTTATTCGGAAAAAAACTAATCCCGAATTTTTAATCATCATCTACCGAAATACTAATACCTTGCAAAAGTATTGTCGAAGAGGTTCATTTGAAAGGCCTTAGCTAAGGATTTCGTCCGAGCAGACTCAAAGCTGACCGTTTTCATTCCCAGACTCAACTAGGGAGAGCTATAAAGAATCCATGCAACAATCCTGCATTGAAGGCTGACAAGACACAGTTGATTGAGGAGTGAATTCAGCAGTGTGCTTCTGTGTGGGGACAAATTGGGCTTCCAATTTTTCTATGTTATGTCGATCAATCTGGTCATTAAGTCTGATGTTGGCAGGAGCGTGGATCGCACTAGTCCAGTCGGTCATTGTTGAGAGTCTACAATATCGGATGAATCAGAGCTAAACTACCTGGTAATCACTTTGTTCTGAAACTGAGAGAAACGCATGAAGTGACGTCGAGATTGCTGTTTGCGACACCTTTAATGCTGTAAAATCTCAGTAGTCGCGCTAAATATGATCGTGCGTCATTTGAACGGTTTGACCACTGACCCGTATAAGCGTATTCTTGAGCTTCTACTATGAAATCCTAGAACAATACTGATTTGTCAGGTATGAGCTGTTTAACTTCATTCTTATAGTTTTCTAGTTTGACACAATGAAAAGCAATCAGTGTAGCCATTTATTAGTATAGTTTGTCATTATGATTGGGTATCTTCTTTCTGCCACTTCCAGTTTACAATTATAAACTATTCAGTAGATATTAACCAATGCAAGCAGCAAGGGCGCACCTTTCTTAGCCACTCAGTACAAAAACTATTAAACCACGAAAGCTTCTGTACAAACAAGGACTAAAAAACAAAATTTGTATCCTAATTTAAAGAAGATCAAAACTAGTTGCGTTTCAAGTGGAACCGTCGCTACCCTCTTGACTGTATTGAGTTCTCGTGCTGATTCCATGCTTGCAAACAAACGTGGACACATCAAAAGTTGTCGTTTAGTGGGCTCATAGATGTACAGCATTTAACTTGTGTATATGCTGCAAGTTTTAACCGATGAACTATTAAATGACACCATAGAGATTAACCAAAAGAGCCGGAAAGAATACTGCATTGCGTCCACGATGATCAGTGATACACGTGTGTTCGACGTAATGCATGCCGCCCCTTCACCATTAAAATGTGCCTTTAATGTAGGTTTGAAACTTTTTTGGTGATTGCAGGTGATGAATCAGTCCATATCGTGAATTTACAAACAGGATGTCTGACTCATTTGGACATACTCAGCTCCTAAAAAAGAAATTGGTTGTCCTCTTATGGTTGAGTTTTCGTGTCAGTTAAACGGAACTATTACTAATTGTTTGGTGAATAAAACAACTACCAGACAAAAAGGGACCGCTTTACAAGTAATCAAGCCACCCTAACTTTCAATCGATTGCAAGTTATTGAAAAGCACAGAAATTTCTTGTTGGAACTGACATAATACTGTCTCAAGAGATTACCTTTCATTTACTCGTCTCGACTCGTCGATACTCGGCCGGCAATTCAAGACTGAGGACCAAGAAGGGAGTTAGTGTTCGTGTTACACTCTTCCATTACCACGTTTTGAGGTTAAAGTATACGACTACTGCATTTGACACGTTGAGAATTTCCTTGCGACAAGTCAGCCTTTGTAAAATTTAGTTATTGCCTACGTAGATATTAAAATGAAAATTTCGTACTCGGTCATGAATACGTAGCTGATGGAGAGGCTGTACTAAAACGTTTCGACAAAGAAGACAGAGTAAACACAGTAAACAGGCTCAATCGGCTTCGAACTTTAGTTCTCCATAAACTGATAAGGATAATCAGGGAAGCCCGAGCATAAACGTTGTTAGACAGAGACACAGAGATAAGCTTTCAAAGCGAATGTGAATGTCTTCCCTTACCCGTGAGAAGAGTGACCTAGGCTTGCTTTGATCGTGGGTTGGCTTCCTCTTCTTAACGGAACTTGTGCACTCAACTGCACTGCATAAAAACTATTGGCTGTTACATCTGTGTTAGCTGTGAAAACCTGAGGGAATACTTTTCGAATTGCTTAGCTCCAAACTAAGTAACCCTGTAATTCTTGGTTGCAATAAATGGCCTGAATAAAATAACTAGTTATTTTTTCAGTCTCAGAGCACCACGAGTTCTTCACTATTCAGACTGAGAAATTCATCCTGACCAGATCAAATCTTGAATACAGCGATGCAATGCCGTCAGTAATAGAAGTAAATGATTTCAAAGGAGGAAGGAGCATGGAGGCGGAGCCCGACTGCTGAGAACTGACTCATTAATTGGACACTCTGGTATCATTAAATTTGTTTTAGGCCTTACCGGTCCCTCTTTTACTCTGCGGACAAACTGCCAAGGAAGGAATCAAATCCTGAAAAGCCTACAATGGGATCATTCGTTTTAGAACTCCTTCTGTACTACATTGTCTTGTTTTATAATTAAAAGAAACTTTCCCTAAGAAGTGTTTTTATTTTTCTGTCACAGAAAAGGCAAATGAAACATGGGGAAATGAGTAACCCCAAAGAACAACGAAGCGAAATTACGAATGTTGCTTAATTGACATCATTTCATGCATCAGATTATCCAGTGGTGCCTTCTGTAAATTGTCAGTTAATTCGCTCTAAACAAGTCTTCAAGTTAAATTAACAAAAATGCAAAGAGCTTCAGATTTAACATATGTCCCCTTCAATTTACTCTGACCAAAAAGGATATCAGTCTTATCCACCGTGTGCGACTGATACCAGGGCAGTGTTCCTAAATACAACTTCTGATCGTTAACTAACACTGATTAAGACATTTCTCCTTGATACATAGTCTACTCAGAGGTAATGTGTACTTTAACAGTAAATTTTCTTTTGTTAGACTTAAAGTGCAGAAAACGTAATTATACAAAATAATCATAATATTCAGTTCCGGGTATCCTGGAGCTTGCAAGGGTATAAACATCGTCTCCGAAGCAGCGATACCAAAATACTGTCCCGCAGAGAGTGTGCTGTGAATCGGTCTCTAAAACTCAGTTTGCTAGCCACCCTACAAGTATTTTACAGCTTTTGTCGCAGAATGTAAAAAATATTGAAACACCTTATCATGCCCGCGGTAGTACAATATTCCTGAAACACTACCAGTAAACGAAGGCTAGACGTGGCCTCCTACCTGCTCAGCGAGTGGGCTGACATGCGGTTTTGGGATACTTTGTATTTGATTATTTGATTCAGAACAAAATAAATAATGCATTTTGTTTTCAGTGTGTTTTGTATAGAAACGCTAGGGCGGGAGAGAGGTATGTGTATCGTCGATGAGATATGGTCGGTGGTCACACTGTAGGATTTCATCATGCAATTGAAGGCTCGGTTCAGTGCCGTGGGAGTAGTAAATTAAGGTTGTGAAACAGCTGTTAGTTTTGTTACTTGATTTGAAGCGCCATACTATTAATTCGGCGATTCAATCCAAGATCTGTAAAGCAGTGAAACGTTTTTCACTAACTTAGGTATGTGAGTTGCAATGACGTGAACTCTCTACATGACGCCCAGTCGCACACAGCGGACTCGTTTGCATACATGCCATGCTGTTGCTGATTAAAACCTTGTCTTATTTGAAGTCTTCGTTCCGCCGCTATAATTCATGCTCTTTAAGTAAGTGAACCAAGGAGTAGCACGATTAACCAACCTCGACTTACGTAAATTACAACGGTTATTACAGACCTGACCAATGTAGATCACTGGTTGCTCCAAGTTGTAACTTTGTGGAAGGACACTCTACGTTTCCCGTCAGTTCAATTGAAGCTCAAAAAATCGAATCAAACACCTCGGCCGCCAAAAAAGAAAAACTACTAGAACTCACTTTCTAGTCAGCCGAGTTAGTAGTAACTAAAACGATACAATCATTAATAGAATGCCTTGAGTCGCGTGACCAATTCTCTGGCTACGATTCAATTTACAGATCATTAACAGAGCGTTAACTACTGAGTCGCCCTGCTAAAGAAGTTTATGCCTCTATGTGGACCAGAAAAAATAAAGAGGCACAATTCCAGTTTCTCCCTCGTAGAAAATGTATTTTATTAGAAAAGGCAATTGCCGAGGGTGAAATAGATGTTCGTTATTTGAGATTGGAAAGGAGAAAAGTATGATTAAAACATTTTCCTTTCATTCGCCTCTGTCAGCTACTCAGTTAACGAAAGTATGGCCGCTCTCATTCATATTTTTTTTTTCAAGAGTGGTATGTCCACTATCTGCGATATTGAGCCAAGGTATCATTTGGAGTGAAGTTTTAGTTTTAACCCGATGAATAAAACTTAAAATGATTGCTTCTATTAAAGAACAGGATTGATCTCTTTGTTTAGCTACTCTAATGTGTTTTTACTACCCTGCTGAAGTCTTTCACCATGTCAACAATCTAGAATCACGTACTGTACGATTATGTGCAGGACCTTTTAGACACCAGGGACGGAGTTATCAATCGATGTTCAAAGGTGGATGCAAAATTGGAATTCAGATGTGAAAGCTTAAATATCAAATCAAGTTTAATTTTTTGTCTACAATTTGATGATCGAGCGCTCTAAAAAGAATAAAGAAAATAAAAGAAGAAACCTGTCCCTGGTAAATTTAAACACGGGTTAGCGCTAATCGGCCTTCAAACAGTACATATTGTTGCATCGTCTTTCTCGGTTAAAACGAGAGTTTTCATGTCATCTGAGTTCACCTGCCAAAATACCCTTCGTGACAACTTATTATTGTGCTAAAGAACCCTTTACTTTCTTGAATGGGTTTTTGTGTTAAAAATTAAAATTTTCTCGGTACCATATGTGCTTTAAAGCACGGAAGACTTCGTAAACTTAAACAAAAGGCTCTCAAGTATGGACTGTCCTATGAATTTTAAATCATGCCATGTTGGGGAATTTTTTATAATCGCACGTGTTTAAGTTACTTTCGTGTGTGATAAAAGATGCGCTTTTTACTGAAAATTAGCCGGACCCTTTGGCAAAATAAGGAAGTATGATCATTTGGAACAACGGTCAACACTCTTTTCTCCAGTCAGCCCACAAACCGTTCAAACAAAAACGGATAAACCAAAGAAACCATTTGTTTTTTAAATTCGATACTACATCTTTATCCGATCTTTAAATAACGTACGCACGGCCCTTTTTCCTTAAACATATTGACGGTGGCCTTAGTGCGCTGCGTGATCAGTGGTTTCTCGATATCCTTTCTGCATAAAAACGTGTAAACTACGAGTTATTATGTATATGTCGCTGTGCAATTTTATTCCTTAGTTTAAGTTTTATTTTCCTATTAAACTGATCGCCACTCATGACCATATATTTTCAGTAGGCAAACAAATGATAATAATGGCGATTATCTGCGAATTCATGCTCTATTTATTGTCATATTTTGATCGGACGACATTCACAATGCCTTGCAGCATAAAAAAAAAAGAAACCTTTGGAAACAGGCTAGCTGTACTCCAAACGTGCTGAAGAGTACAACCATGAGGGCGGCTAGAGGAAGCCGAGAATGGAAAATTGAGTTCAAAATACGTGTACCTGAAAGTCATACAACTTTCCATTTTGTATAATAAAGGAAACGCACATGTATCGCGTGACATTATGAATTCTCTTTCTATATCTAGTTGCTATATCCTTTCCTCAATAGCAACGTTAAGCAGCACTTTTTCTTTTAAGTGATCCTCAAGTCGTGTGAAAGTTATCGTTTCCTCTTTTATCCTCGTTCTTGTTACCTCGATTTTATGGAAAAGGACTGAAGAAGTTGTCAGTCAGTAAGGCCTTGGCGGCTTGTGAAACGAAACTGACTGACTTAGTCTGTTGTAAGTTTTAAGGCGTGTTGAGATGTCTGAGCGAGAAAAAATTATTGCAATCTCCAGGGAAGTGGCCCTCTACTAGAATACTCAGACTGACAAGCCTATTAACTACTAAACTACGATCTTTCCGAATGTGAATACCCTTTATGACTTTGTATTAACATAACAGCGAAGAACAGGGTGTGAGGTCTGTAAGTAGTGTTCGAGTAGCCGGCGGTCATTAGCCTGTGCTGGCTTAAGGCCGAACAACGAAAGCTTTTTTGAATTATTTGCCCTTGAGCGGTCATCTTTATTTCAATAACTTCTGGCGGCCGTCATTGAAGTGTTCTACCTCTTGTAAAATAGTGCACATTGATGAGCCTCAACCCACACAAATCAGAACCACTACAAAATTTAATATAGTTCTTTGTCATAGGGCCAGTTTTTTAGCCCACGGGATGGTCTACTAGCTTTTGCCCCAAAAAGACGTCGGAGCGCTATATAGTTTTGCAATACTATGCTTTCATCTTCTTGTCTGGAGGTTTTGTTATCTGAAAAAGTTTGAAGAACTTAAAAGAAGCTCTCAATGGCAGTATTTGTTGAAATGTTTGGTTGAAAGCGCATATTTGCGCGTGGTACATGTAACTACTTATCACGCCCATGCAGCCTTAAACTCGGTAAAAATAGCGCTAAGCATACAAAGAAAGAAATTTATTATTGAAACAGAAAGTACACGAAAGGCTTATTGAAATTTGCCCTTTTGCATAAACACTACCCCCTTAGATTTGTATGATGAGCTCGTTTTATCAGAATGTACTCTTTTTTAGCCACAGGTATCCATACCTGTTAAAAGTTCCACTTAGCGACGTTGAAGAACCTTCGTAACTTGAATTTTAAATGACTTTCATGCATTGTGCTCCTCCGTTCCCATACCACCTTATATATTGCAACATAATATACTATTGCTTTGGTTACCAGTGGCTTCTAACAAAAGATAAGTGAATGCTAGAGGTACTCCCACACGAGTTTTTTTAGTCTGTGAAATTCTGACCCAAGCCCCTCTATTCCAGCTTTCTATATTTTCGTCTGGTTCTAGTGTCGTAACCATACCTAACAAAACAATTTGTCACGTGACAGTAAGCCGGATTGACGCAAAGGCCTACAGGTCTTTAACTTTTAGCCCGTTGTTTCAATATAATTGGGGTCAGTTTTTTTCCGTTATAAGTCCGACAATTTTTTTACGCTCACAGTTATTGAGATTTACACTCAAGATCTAACTAGTTTTCGTGCTTTATTTATTTATTTTTTCAGTCTCTGATAAGCCATTTATCGGCTATGTTTCGTTGACTCATAAACAGCTGCGCGCGTTGCAAATGTAATTCGTGGGCGCAAAACGCCAAGTCGACTTGCATTTATTTTAACTTTATCAGCGTCATAAGTCGGTTTTATTGCTAAGCTGAATATGCTAAACCTTCACCCGCAAATAAAGTACAATTACAGATTAACACTATTGCAGTGAAAAAATAAAAGAGATAACACCCCTTGCCCTGGACATGTAAAACAGGCGGGACAAGGGTAGCCTCTGTTTTCTTTGCAAACTAGAAATATTTTCATCTTTCAAATTTTTGTTTCTCCAATAGTTCTTGACTCTTTTAAAACCTATTTTTTGCTGTGGAAATTGAAGTTTAGAAGAGGATTATAAGTTGAAATGTTAATGTTTTTCGTCTTCTCCAAGTCGAAGTCATAAGCAACCTTGCATACACCCACGCATGAAGTTGGACTATGATCGAAACCTTCGGACAACTCAGGCTGCAAAAATCCTTTTTACTGAAACGTGTATGTTCATGATGAATACCGGAAGAAAGCTCTTTTTTCTAAAACCATTAAGATGGCTACATGACCAGGTTTTCACGTTCTTCAGAAGTTTAGCGACTTTTATTAAATGTAAGGGGAATGTGTGGGCGAATTCTTTTTTTTTATTATTATTATTTCCAATTGAACATAACCTTCAAAGCAGTCTTCATGAAAAGGAGGAAAAATGTTACGCGCACGACTATCCGGTCTTTTCTACGTTTTCCCATTTACAAATAAATTGTCAACTTGTTGAAATACTTCTTTGAAATTATCGTGCTATAACTCTTGAATTGTGTGCATTGGAAAGAGAAGTCAACCTCCCCCTCCCCGAAAAAAAAGCAAATGTGGTATCAGCAAAGCTAAAGCTATATATACAAGTGATCTATGAAGGCAAACGTTTCCGAAGTGACACAGCCTACAGAGGATGGGAAGTTGTTGTGAATAACTACTTTGGTGCTACAGGAATGCCCTGCCTACTGTTAAGTTTTATTTGCTCAGCAAACTGAGCTAATTCTGTTCGGGTATTATGTACGAAGGTAAAGTGTAATGTTCACTGAAGCGAAGAAGGGCCGGTTTAAACCGTGTAAATTGTATCTTAACACATAGAGTTAATTTTGTTCCACGTCACTCAAGATGCGTTTTAGTTTATATGTTCTTATTTTTTCTGACTAGAAATATGTCTCTTTCTCCTGCAGTGGCATAACACTATCGCGCTGTACCTTCGACTTATTAAAAAATGTTTAGAAAATAGTTACCTTCATATGCGGGAAAACGTGGATAAGCCATTGTTAACATTCCCAAATCGAGTCCTCTGAGGCGGTCTGCTAATAGTTTCTAAGCTTCAGCGCTTGATAAGGAGTATATAATTTTCAAAGTGCTTTGACACCGCGGAGCTGTGTATCCTCGCTTGGCAAATACAGTGCTAAATGAGCCACCGCTAGCTTTGGGCACGATTTTTGTGGTGTAACAATTATGCATATAATCGTAGGCGTTACGGCTCGTTAAACATTCGTAATGATAATAGAAAGAACCTGCGTGATGCACGCGTGGGAGGGCAACATTATACGACAACAAAGCCATGACAACCATTTCCGAACAAATACGAACCAATCCCGAACAGTGTCGACAAGTGTCGATAATCTGCACGAGTGACTTTATTTGGCGATGGTGATGTAAAACGCTCTTGTTGCATGTATTGGATTCCCTCCAGAACAGGTTTTGTGGCTTTCGTAGAAAATGGCAACGGCGTCAAAAAAGGCAACCACTAAAGCAGTAGCTTTAAGCAAAATTAACGATCGAACTTTTTTATTTCTCAATATAAAATTTTTGTATCTTCGCAAAGGCGAGTACGGATGCGTGGGTGGTCACGTGGTGAAACGTAGCACGGGCAGCTGGGTGTGGTGGATCGACGAAACCGGAAGTTAATCTGGAATATTCCGGAAACAGTTGCCCCTAAGATCAAGATAGCAACGAGTCAGAGTTCACGAGTTAACTACTGTGGATTTTTCACGTGTTTACATCATAATTCAATAAAAACAGTGAATTTGAAATTCGTTTCATTACAACTGAATTCCACCGCACTACGAATTGTGTCTTTAATTATATTATTTCCATCCCTGCCGACAAAAAAGGAATTCGCCTGTTACTCCGATTAGTTTATAAGATCATACTCCGGGTCGTAAAATAAATTTCTAACGGAAAAATAAGGTCGTTCAACTTCCCAAAGTGCCACGGCATCAGATAACCGCTTTTGAAAAATTCCTTTGAGATAGTGGAATTTTTTCTCTCCATTATTTTTTTGTGTAGATTAAATTGGGGGTGGTGGTTCTCATTTTCTCCCTTGTGCCCTTCGTTTGAATGAGCCGTTAAACCGATCAACACGGTACATCATTTATAAGGTTAGTTTATCCCTAGCTAATCACCCACTGATCTGACATAGATAATTTAACATGATCTCCATACGACGTTCGCCACCTGCTACAGATCTCGCGCTAACATCGCGTGGTCAACGAAAAATGAGTCTGTTTTATGTGTATTGGTTTTGCTTTACTACTGCGGCATAACGGACAGGCACCTCTTCAGTTATCATATACACAGGCGCATCAAATAGAATACTGGTTTTTTTTTTACTTGTAAGAGGTGTTACACAAAACACGATCAGTAAAACTAATAATACATCCCACGCTTCTCATTGTTCAGGCGTGCGCTGTTTTGACTTGCGAAGGAGTGTTAGCCAGTTAGATTTCCTCGTGTCTATAAGTCAACAAGTAGAGCTTATTGTTCAAGCTATAGTTAATTGAGACGTGGGATGTACTTTTGCGTGTCAGTAACACTCATAACGGTTTTCGGCTGTTTCTGCCATTTTTAGTTCCTTATTAAAGTTCTTGAAGCTAAAAAGTCTTTGTTTACAGGGTCTATAACTGAAATCTTTTTCGCAGTTGGCCCTTTAACGTTTGTACGTCTCTGTTTTTTTGCCCATATTGTTAAACAGGCCCGTCATTTCTTGAAACCGATGCTAAATTTCCTTTTAGAACCTTACCAAAACGAGGTATCAAACAAAGATCTCACCTCGTCCCTTAGCTGCGGCACATCTTTAGGACTTTACATTTTTTTCTATTCCCGGCAAGTTGAGAGTTCCCGAGAAAGTTGTTGATCATAAGAAACACAAATGAGCAATAATAATTTATCCGATCCGTCGCTAAGATCTGTCCCTAAATAACCATGAGTTTATTTTTTCTCGGGGAGGACGGTGTAAACTACAAATTTTCTACAAATGTCTCTCTCTTTATTTAGTTTACCTCAGTCATGATTACAGCTACTGCATGTATCCCACACACAAACGGGAGTAACTGAAAAGGAAATTGCCTCTCGCAATAACATTAGCAGCCGGGCTTGTCATGTCAGACTGCCCCACGTTTATGATATATTTTTAATTCAACCTTAGAACATTCCCACGCTTTCCTTAAGTAAATCACTTTTCACGAGTAACAAAGTACTGGTGGTCACTGAAGACGATGCAGGCCAACACAAAGATCCCTATTCATGTCAGCAAGGGTTCGTAAGGTTTTTCACACACATACAAATTAGTGAATCAGGAGTTTGATGATTCCCGTGAAATTGCCTCGGGCTATGCTGTTACATGCCAGCTTGTAGATGATTGTCCATGATCGTCGCCATTATTCGATTTTCTTTCGTGTTGCGAATGTTCATCTAGAACGTGTTTCAAGGCTGAAAAAGGAGAAACAATAGCCTTAAAGTAACCGATGATTATCACGCAAAAAGTGGTCATTTTTAGTCGGGCATGTGCTATCCTTCGTTATTCACAGTAAAAACAACGTGCAAACCTACGCAGTGATTCAGTTAAAGGCCCATGTTCACCCAAACGGCTTTGCCTGCTTATGTTTTTGTTTTGAAAGGATTCTTTTGTCAAATGTCTTTTTAGCGCATTTCTCTAACTTTCTGTTAATGTCTCCAGGATTCTCTTAAAGCTTACCATAACTGATCCAAAATGTCCATAATGAAGCAAGTACTCTCTTTCATTACATAACCAGAAGAAGACCTTCGTTTTATGCTTTTTTCGTCGTAAGGTGATCACAGATTACTTCACCGGAGGTCAGCTTTAAAAATAATCCACCCCTCAAAAAAACAAATCCAGTCACGTCTTCTTTACAGACAGGTCCTTATACTTCTGAGATTGTGCCAAGAAAACAGTGAAATGCGTTTAGTACTACGTAGATGGAGGTATCGAGTAGACTTAACTCTACTGTAATTATTAAATCAGAGCTTTCGTGAAAAGTGTATAGAAAAATATAATAACAACCAACTTCCGCCAAGTAGTCTCAAAATTATGGCATCCAAGTTCTGTCAAAATCCCAGGTCATATTTGATTGAATTGAAACAACTAAAATATTGGTGTCACTTAAGATCAGCAACAGCTTGGTTGGAAAATGTTATATTTCACTCCTGCAGAAAAAGTGTTTACTTCAATTTAGATCTTAGCCGTTCCTGTTTTGATGTCTTTGAAAGGAGGAGTTGAGACTCAATCACTTCCGAATCAGTCCCTCGTATCTTCGATAACCGCTTATCTCATTACCTGCACGTACAAACTTGCCGTAGTTCATAGCCTAGTATAGGCTGCTAGTATAGTACACTTTGCGGCAAGAAAGAGATCTCGGTAAACTATACCATACAATTCTCCGAGTATTACCAAACAGTGAGGAATTTTTTGCACCCCGTTAATTGCCAACTGCTCCGATGTACACTGAGCTTATTTGCTCGAATGTCATGGAATGCCAGAAAAGAGGAATGGAGGTATAGATAGATCAGTACTTAAAATTTGGTTCATTACAGCGAATTACCCCAGGAACTTCTGTTTTGACAATTATCCGCTTACAAACCGAACTGTAAAATGATAGTAGAGGGTAACCACAGTAGTAGAAACTTAACGGCGGCTTTTTTTACGGATTACTTATATAAGTGGAGAGGACTCTTCGAGGCAGCTGTCTACCGGGTCGGTCTGCCTGAAACTTTCCACAGTTTTACGATATCGTTACGATGAATAACGAATAAGAAATGTATGATGTTGATTATTATGTTTCAGTTTTGGACCTGTGGACTTCTAGAGGAGTGGTTTAAGCCTAAGAGGATTTTTTGGTGCTATACTATCCTTGACTAACCCCACCCACGCCCCCCCGTTCCGTCTTATATTTTTTCTCTTTATTTACTTCCAATTCCCGTGACTTTCCTCTTCCCTTTCCTCTTCAGTGTTCGTTTTACTATAAAACACGGTCAATTCTTTCTTGCTTTGTTCAAGGTCTCTCTATAGTGCGAATATATGCTTTTCTCTCAATTCATAAGCTTGTAGGCTTGATTTCCGTCATTTTCTCGGGTCCGGTGTCTTTTCCTCGTTTCCCGATCAGCGGTTGTCGACTTACATTGTAGACTTGCCTACAAGTCGGGCTCGAAATGTTCTGGAACGCAAAGCGCGAGCTAGAAATTTTATTATGTTTTCGGTGTGGCAAAGCGAGCGAGAGAACGGGAGCTCAACGTTCGCGCTGGGGCTTACTACCGGAACCGAAAACGAGAAGCGAAGGACTTTGAGAAAGTCTACTTACATTGCTTTCTTGTAGATAAACAGAAAAATAACCGGAAACCATAGCTTCCCTTCTAAAGTGGTGTGTTTTTTCCTGTAGTCACTCTCAGAGAACACGAAGAATACGTTAACCTGAAGAGGTCCTGACCTATACACCACCCCAAATATTCATGGTAGCTATTCCTTACAGTTTCCACCCATAGCGAACAATTCTTGCAAGGACCACTTGGACAAATTAAAGGGAAAGCCAGCTCTTGCTGTAGATGAGGATCAGCAATACAAAATAACAGTTAAAATTGAAGACAAGGCTGATCTGAAAGCTAAGGGGCAAATAAATTTGTAAGGCCAGCTGTCCAATCAGCCTTGCCTTCGATATTTTAAGTGTTTACACCTATAGCCGGAATAAAAATAAAGAACTATGGGCTTGTGACAGTTGCCTGTTTCCTAAACGCGTTGATTTTTCTGTGGGTAGTCTTTCCGATGAGAGGGGGTGTCGTTTAAACAACAACTTCCTAGACGTCTTAGTTGCGTGCCTTCACTGACTTTAAATCAAAAATCAAACTAACCGTACAGTCAAACAAAACGTTCAGCTAACTTTAACACACAATCCTGGTTGCGTGGAAGAAAACGTGCCCATTTCTCTATAACTATAGACTGCGAATACAGCCATCTTCCTTCGCTCCTCGGCCGCTAGGGAAGTTTCGGCGAAGAGCGAGGAAAGACGGATGTATTCGCAGCCTACTAGAATGTACTTTATTTTCGCGGTTCGGGTTTAGTAAACACAAGAGCCATAATATGGCTCTTGGTAAACATTAATATGTGGGTGTACAGCACAATGTATCGCGCTTCTTGAAGAACTGTGAAGAAGCTCCTTGCCTTTTGTAATAAACTGTACAACCCTTTGGTTTCACTGTCTTATCTGCTGGCGTTTGCTCGAAGGGAGTCTTACATTTATGACTTTATTTTTTTTTTCAGTATTAGTACCATCATCTCTTCTTTGGCTGAAAGTTTTATATAAAGCTGTTCTCTTTTCCATGGCTCGAGACCTTCTAGCACTGAGTGTACGCATTTCCCGCTGCGTAGACCGCGACAGCATTACAGAGGTGTTAGGCCCCCAGCTCACGAGTGAGAATCGTTGTTGCGTAACAGAAATATTATAAGGGTTTGTATGGAGAATTTAGGTGTCAAAAAGTAGTAAAAAATACATCAGAATTTCCTACCTTGTCTCCTTGTCTAAATTTATGGTGCTTTCTCAGCATTTTTGGTCGTTTCAGGGCGATCCCAGCGAGTTTTAGTCCTGCCGTTGTTCGTTGTCCCGTACCTGAACCCTTATAACACAACGATTCTCACTCGTGAGCTTGGCACAGCGGATGCGTTTTGCTTGTACATACCATTTTCAGTAAACGACTGGCGTAAATCGATACAGGGCAGAATCGCATCAGGACCAGCCTAGTACGACCAAATACCCTATGTACACCCCCCTCCCTTGAACAAAATCTCCCTCCCCGATTTTTTTCTAATTAAGGGAAGGGGTTGCGGGCTGTACAAAGGCTAAGGACTAAATCACCTATTCTTAGAAAACGCTTCACTGACCGGCCCTTTATCGCAGTACTCTGCAGTGATGTGGAACACGACAGGACTCAAAGACTCTACCGAAAAAAAGTGGTCACTTTTACATACCTTTTCTTCACTCCAAACGAGTCATTTTTTTATTGTGTCGCGACCTCTTTTAAACAGTTTTGGCCTCATCAAGAGGCACCTTTAAAAAACTCTAGTCTTGTGTAGTCTGCCATCGTGGTTGCATTCAGGACTTTTTCCCGCCTTAAGGTGCTTAAAAGGCGAGATACAAAACCCTTTTACTAACCTTGGAGGGCGGCATCAAAACATTAACACACTCTACCCCCGTAAGAAATCGAGTTTCCGCCAGGGTGAATTTAACCTCTGAAAGTTCAGAAGAGGAATGCGTTTAATTATATTTCGTTATGTTTCTTTAACTAGCAGTTTTCTTTTTGTTTCTTTTAAAATAACAAGAGTATCGTTGAGAGTTAGTTCCGTAGCTTTGAAATGAAACCTGCGATAGTTAAATGAGTTTTAACTCGATTACCACTGCTCAGCTCTTTATGCATTTATCCAGTTATGGGTCTTCCTTTTTTCTTACTGGAAGAATCATTTTGGCGCATTCGTTGTGTACTTTCTTGAACCCTTCCTAGGCTACCTTTTTTTTTTTTTTTTTCAACACATCTTCTTTTTCTAATATCTCACAGCCTCGGTTGAGTCTCAGCCGTTATGGTCACGGTAGCCATGAGTGACCGCGGGCGATTACAGCCACCCTGAAATGGTGTCTACTCGCAGAAATTCTGAACCTTAAATGTACTACGGTGTGCTCAATTTGATTGTGGAATCTTCCCGCGTCAAGATGTGCGGGTGCGGGTATTTTAAATATCTTCAGTATAGTGTGTGATTCACAACGACCCCCAATTCCAGCAACGTATTTCAAATTCCGTTTGGGGTCAACCAACCATCACATTAGCAACAGCAAGTGGTAACGTTTGCGCATGCGTCAAGCTTGCTGGGAAGGGTCGGCATTAGATTCTACCCACCAAAACCACATCGATCGAGAGGGACTGAGATTGACTTTTGGACACCTTGTGACATGTTATACCAACGAAAGATGCCTACGATGTTTTGACGTATTCACCTCCCGGGGATTCGCCTTTCTTTTGCTTTGGGCTTAATAATATTTGGGAGATCGAGTTCTCGCCAACAAAGGGTGAATATAACGAGTATAACTGTATTTTGGCAAATATTGTACGTGAAGTTTTAAAATATGTTTCAGATTTCATGGGTCTACGTGATACACATCTAGCACCGAACACTGTCGGTGGTTTTGGTGGATGTTGAAGTCTACATCCACCAAAACCACTCAGGGTTTTAATTTTTTTAGGCGCATAGTTACGCTTCTGCAAAGTACTGACGGACTTTTTTAAGACCATACTCATAACGCATAATAATTATTGACACAAACAAAATTGTAATCATGGTTTTTATATAAGTTATTATTTACACATACAAACTATTTTATTTTCTTATTATTATTTATTATTTTTTTAATGTGCACTTGTGAGCAGCACACTTACACTTCCAGTGAACATTTTCACTTGGGAGAAGGAGAAACCATGCTTGCCCGGGGCAACGAAAATTTTCGTGCCCCGGGCGAGAGTCGAACTCGCGACCTTCCAAATCCCATCATCAGTCCCGGGAAACAAACAGGAACATCATGGCGGGAATTTTAAGTTACGAACCAGCGTTCGATAGGAAAATTGCTGCGAATTTTGGATATGTTTCTGAAGTTCAAAAGCCAACTGACGATTGCGTTTTTCGCTGCCGTCAATCATCTTAACGGA